GAAGCTGCCAATACTGGCCACAAGCGGACCAATCTACCAAGCATCCCTGGCTACCTGAGCCCGCGCGCAGGGCCGGGCCTTTCCCCCCTGCCCATGTGACCAGAGCATTGCCTCCCAGGCACCAGGCTTTTGTCATGCAGACCAGGTGGGAGATCCCCGCCCTGAGGGATTCAACACCAGCCTCTCAGGCTGGTGGAGACAGATCTCTGGAGAGGAGCACCGACGGTGGCATTTCTGCCACAGTCACCAACCACTGGTTGGCGCTCGTCGCCCCCCCCTTGCCGCCGACAGTGTTGCGGCTGCCTGTGGCATCTCCCCACTTTCCTCCACTATGCTCCCACTGCCGACAGCACCAATGCTGCCCGTGGGAGCTCGCCATGCCCCCCAGCCTCTGGGGCCACACGTCATTCATGCAATTATTCCAGACCACACAAGAGGGGGGCCATAAACAACAAAGTAGATGCTGACACAGCCCTGACACAGCTCTTCCACTCTGCTCTACCAGCACAACAGGTGGCAATGCTGTTTCCAGGGCAATAAAAGATTCCCTGTCTATGGAGGAAGCCCTTCACATCATAGACTGGCCTTAATGCAGGTCCCCAGCATGCTCTAGGCATTGCAGTCTCCCAGGAACATGTGCAGAGCACTGCAGGGCCTCAGCAGCTCCCAACTATGGTACCATCCCTTGAGTGTGCAACCAGCCTTAAGGGAAAACAGCCTGGCACATGGGAACAGATGTAATGATGAAGACAAGCCTCTGCCTCCATGCTCAGCCACCGTTAAAATTTCCTTGTACTGATAAGGCACTTTCCCTCTGGTGCAACCTGTGAGCTCCTTACCGCAGTGTCTGCAACTTGCAGCTGGGATGTCTCAGTCCCTCGCACAGCAGCCGCACGCCGCCATCCCCCAGATCACTGTTATAACTCAGGTCCAGCTCCATCAGGCTGGGACTGGTGCTGAGAACAGCAGTGAGATCCCCACAGCAGGCGGGTGTGAGATGGCAATTCCACAACCTGCAGGAGAGAGAAGCACAGAGGAGAGAGATCAGGGCATGAATAGGGCCACCACAGCTGCTCCAACAGGTGGCCCCACCCACCAGCCCCCTCCCTGGTCAGTCAGCATGGACAATGACACAGAAGTCCCACCCCATGCCCAGCCCCAGGATCAACCCCTTGGCCAAGGAGAAACCAGTGCTTCCTGCTCAGCACCAATGTCTGTGCTATACCTGTGGCCAATCAGCACTGAGAAGGGCCCATCCTCTGCTCCCAGCCAATCAGGAATGGGAGTAGGGCACACAATTCCCATCTAAACCTGCATCCTGGACCTTCCCACTGTCCAACCACAAGGCAGCACATGCAGGAGGCCACCCCATCAGTGCTGCCCACTCAGCTCCATAGGAATCAGGTGGGTTCATCCCTGCCCAGCCCCAGAGGTGCAGGCCAGGCGGAGCGGCCCCAGCGCAGGAGGCTGCAGGAGAAGTCCCCTCCCCAGCACTAGGCAGGCTCCACACAGGAGCTGGGGGATCTGCTCCCACTATTTGCAACAGGAAAAGCCATGGGATCTTTTGTGAGGGATGAAGCAAGTCCCCAGGTGCCACAGAAATTAGTAGAGTCACAGGGTCGGTTTGAGTTAGTGAGAGAAGAGCCTCAAGAGCTGTGGCGCGTCAGTGTAATGTAATGCATTGTGTGCGTGGAAAATGTGATATGAGTGACAGGGGAAGCAACCTTGTGGAGTCCTGTTGACCACGGACTTCAAATCCCAGAGGCACGTGGAAGCAGGAAGAGGCAGTGGCAAGAAACCCTTCAGAGCCCCGCTGCTGCACTGCAAAGTCCAGAAAACCTTGGGGGCAGGAGGAAGAGGTGGCAATCTCTGAGCCCTGGCGGGCTACATACCAGGGTGCCAGGGGGTAATGGGGTCTGCTGTGAGAATGAGTGAAGGAGAGGGAAGCCTCTGCACAGCACAGCTGACCCACTGACTGACTACACACGATCCTTGACCTAGACACCTGCACAGGGTGACTCTGGACTGAAGGCTGGTTCTTGGGGACACCTCCGGAGGTGGTCAGGGGACTATGTGCTGAATGTGTGTACCCCAGTGGTACTGACCACCACCTGCCCTCTATGTGTATGTTGTTATACTTTGGATACCTATGTACCTGTATTTGTCCCTTTCTGTTCACCTGTGATCCTAACCCCTAGGACAATCAGTATAAAGTAAATCCCTTATTGCCTGTAGTGATTGTGCCTGACATTGCAGGGGGTCGTTACATCAGGTTATGAGGATGAAACCTGCCCCCCAGCCCCTGAAGCATATGTGGCGAGATGGAGGGAGGGCAGGACCCTGGACCATGCCGGAGAGAATCATCTCAGCGGCTGTGTAGATCACGTGCCGTCAGTGGCGTAAGGACAGAGCATACCGCAAAGTGAGAGTCAGAGGAGAGCGTGGCTGCCTCACCAGCAGCCCGTTGAGGTAGGGCATGAGGGTGAGGTGGAGGAAGGAGTGTCTGACAGTGGTGGGGCTCTTAGGGGACACCAATAAAAAATGGACAGGAAGAGAAAGGTGAAGAAGTGGGACCTAACGAGAAGTGAGAGAAGGGAATTCCGCTGAGAGCAGCAGGGCAGGGAAGGAAAAGAAATCACACAGGTGGGGAGAGCACGAGTGAGAAAGGTTAAATACTTTGTGAAAGATGAAACTCTGAGAAGGCCACTCTCCCTCTATTAATATAAAATTGGAAATGTGCTGAGAGGTGTGTTCTCTTGGGGACTGTCTGCCAAAAAGCAAAGAGGACTGATTCATAATATTGACGTCTCCCACCTCATTGGAAGTGGGCAACAGCTGGAAGACACATGTGGATGAACATGTTCCCAATCTGGGGCTCCTGGCCTCTGCCCGCTCCTGAGTAGAGGACAGAGGCAGGGGTTCCTGTATGTGGAAAAGCCTCCTATATGATCTGAAAAACAGAAGTGTATTAAAACCAGACACAAGGTTATGTGTGGGCTCCATTGCAGTGTGGGGACGTGGAGCCAGGCTTTCTTCAGCTCTCTTTACTAAGGTTCCTCACACCTTCCTCCTTACTGCCCTGACCTCTGTGTCCTGAGTGCAGAGAACAGAAACCAGAAATCTGCTGGCTCTGCAGCCATCCCACACTTCAGTGTAGAGAAACAGTTTGCCCCTCCTGGGCCCAGCTCTCTCTGGCTCTGAGAAGTCCGGATCCAGATCGAAGACAGGTTCAGTCTGCAGGTGTCAACCCCCTCCAGCAGAATGGAGCTACAGCCCTGTGCTGAGAGAGAGCAGCAGCAGTGGCTGTCTCTAATATCATTACAAGCAGAGCTGAAAGTGCAGGATCCATCAGAACTTCTCCCCAGAAAAAACTAATGGGACTACTCAGTAACCTTTGCAAAAGAGTCAGTTTCCACCTAAGATTTTTGAATTTTCATCTAATGGGAGAAAAAGAAGAAGAAATGCATTTTCCTGACTAGATGAAGCAGTCTGTAAGATCTTTGGGCAGCCGCTTCTGCTCTCTGCCTCACAGAGACAGGCCAGCAGAAAATTATTGAGGCTACCCCCAGCCAGCCACGCCACAAGCAGAGTGCACCTTGTAACTGGTTTTGAGTTACCCACATATAGTGCAAGCATGAAAGCAAGTGCAAGACATCTGTGTATCTTAGAAGAGTGACCCTATTCCCTTAACAGGAGCACTTATGTATCCATGGCCAGTGACAGAATTGCTCCTAAACTTCAGTTTAAAATTCATAACTTGGGCACAAGCTGCACTTTGTTTTCCACTTCATGTAACACACTCTGTCCAAAGGGGACCCTCTCTGTACAACAGAGTTGTGGTAGGAAGATATGTCCAGGAAGAAGTACACTTCTTTTTGGATGTTACTAGTATTGATGCTGAATCCTCAGCAGGATCTAACAATCGCTTGCTAATAGGCCCAGCAAGTCTACCCTGCATGGAAGGAGGCAGAGGGCTGCAGTGCTTGGCCAAATCCCATTGCGCTGAATCCTATCAGACATCAGGAGTCTCAGTCTTCTCTTCCATCCAATCAGAGATGCTAGAAAACTGCATTGGGCACATCATAGAATCACAGAAAACGAGGGAGTGAAGGGAGCTCAGGAGGTCACATCTAGTCCAACCCCCTGCTCAAAGCAGGACCATCCACACCAACGTCATCCAGGCCAAGGCTCTGTCTACCCAGGTCTTAAAAACCTCCAAGGATGGAGAATCTATAACTTCTCTGGGTAACCTGTTCCAGTGTTTTATTACCTTCCTAGTGAGAAAGATTTCCTTCGAATCAAACCTTAACTTCTCGTGCTGCAACTTGAGCCCATTGCTCCTTGTTCTGTCATCTGTCACCACTAAGAACAGTCCAGCTCCATCCTCTTTGGACCCACCCTGCAGGGAGTTGAAGGCTGCTATTCAATCCCCTTTCACTTGTCTCTTCTCCAGACTAAATAAGCCCAGTTCCCTCAACCTCTCCTCATAAATCATGTGCTCCAGCCCTGAACCATTTCTGTATCCTCCACTGGACTCTTTCCAATGTGTCCTCATCCTTTCTGTAGTGGGGGGCCCAAAACTGGACACAGGACTCAAAGATTATTCCCCTCTATTTGGACACTGGTGGATGAGGCAAGTTGGGAGAGTAGCAGATACATTGGAGGGCAGAGCTAGGATCCAGAGAGATTCTGACAAGTTGAAAGATTGGAGCAAAAGAAATTGCATGAGGTTCAATAAGAACAAGTGCAAAGTCCTGCCTGCACTTAGGATGGGAGAGCCCCATGCGCCAGTGCAGGCTGGGGGCCGACTGGCTGCACCTTCCTGGGAGGCCAGACCCTCTTCCTCTTCTAGCGCCACCTCTGGCAGTCCTTCCTTCACAGTCCTAGATGTTTCCTCCACTAGCGCCAAATATAGGGGGATAATTACTTGCCTCAGTCTGCTGGCAATGCTTTTACTAATGCAGCCCAGGATGCCGTTAGCCTTCTTCCCAACAAGGGCACATTATTGCTTCATATTCAGAGTATTGTCCACTGTAACCCTCAGGTCCTTTTCTGCAGGGCTTCTGCTTAGCTAGTCAGGCTCAGCCTGTACCGATGCCTGGGATTGTACAGGGAGAGCTAGACCTGAACAGTACTGGAGGGGTGACCTGCCTCTTGTGTCCATGACACTTCCCACAATGCCTCTTCCTGAGACACTGCAGGTTGACTGAAGCTGCAGACTGGGATCTGTGGACAATACAGGTTTGGTGCTCGGTGGGGATTCCTAAATCACTAGGGGTCGGCAAGGAGGACTGCCTGGCTCACCACGCCTGGGCAGGCCCTCAGGGAGTGCTCCAGAAGGGAGTTTTAGGAACACATCCCTGCCCGCTGGCACTGCTTAGAAAAAAGAGCTTCAGATGGGCCAGTGCCCTAAGACAGGGCTTCCTTCAGCAAAGCAGCACCCATGTACACCTTGTAAAGGGAAAAAAACAGAGAAAGGGCACAATTTTGTCCTGAGGAGGTGCTCACTCCAGCTCCTGGAAGGGCAGCAAAGCAGGGAGGGAGAAGAGAAGACTCTGAGCCCATGCCGGATACTTTTCAACTTGCCCCTCCTTAACTAACAGACAAACTGATACACAGATATCTCTAGCAAACACCCACCTCTGAGCAGGGAGGCAAGAAAACAGAAGGACATGGAGGGGCTCTGCCCTGCTGTCACAGGCAGGAGGAAGGGGTTGAGGGATGGCAGGGTCCATCCTGCCCTTCATGCATCAGTGTGGGAAGGGCATGGCAGCCCTCAGCATCCAGGCACAATCCAAGTAGCTGTTGCTGGATAAAGGGATCCAGACTCGCTTTCTTGGGAATATGCACAGCAGGAGTGGGGCCAGGTGGGCCACAGCGCACAGAGCTTGAGGATCTGCCACGATGACAGGCAGATGTTGAGCTGAACCACAAGCCACTCACAATGGTACTGAACCCCTTCCCTAGTCCAGTGCAACCTGCCAGTGCAGCAGGGCAGAGAACAAGGGCCCTTCTGGGGCCAGCACTGCCTCACTAAGATACAGCTGGTAGCTGGGGCACAATTTACCATACGTACCTGAAACTAAGATGCTCCTGGATTTAAGATGACTGAATTCCCCACACCCCATGACCCTCCTCCCCATAATGAGATGTTGTACATGGAAAATTAAAAATGTTATAATTCTGTATGTCTAGCATCTGATTAGTGGAAGGTCATCTTAAATGTGTCCCCTTCATTCCTGTGACAAAAAGGGCAGGGGCAGCAGGCCAGATCCCAGCCCCTGGCTCCCCTACCCCCCGTCCTCATGTGTCTTCTGTCTCCTGCCTGCCACCCAGAGCCTGTGTCTACCCCACTCCCTGCTCCACAACCTGGGGCACTCTGTTGAAGCCTGCCCCCTCCTCCACCTCCCTCCTGCAGTCTGACCCCACCTGCAGCCTGCTGCACACTCCCTCCGGCAGCCTGCCCAACTGCCCCCTGCCCCTGACACCCTGCCCACCCACTACCTCCTACCTTCTGCTGCAGCTCTGCTCCTCTAGAGCAGTCAGGAGCAGTAGGGCCCCAACCTGGCCAGGGAGAAGTGGGGGCAGTTCCCAGCTAGGCTAGAGCTGGAGGGACCTGAGCCACAGCAGAAAGTAATGGGGTGGAGGAGCAGACATAGGCATGGGGGGGGGCAGGGCCAGGGGGCAGCCTGCAGGTTCCCCAGGCTACCTCCTGGTCCCCTGTGCCATGTGCCCTTTCCCCATTCAAATGAGAAATTCTGGGCTAATATGGAGCTCAGGTGTCGCCTGCCCCAGGCTGCTACTCCAGTTAATGAGGAGGTCCCCTCCATACCCCCTCCCACATATTGAATAGGGAAAATTCAATATGTCATGCAGCAGAGTAAATTTGTTCAACACAAGATAATTTGTCCAAGCTGTACCACTGCACAGGTGCCTGTAGTTTGCCGTTGGGGCCTTTCAGTCCCTCACCCAGCTGTTTCAGTCCTGGTTCATCCCCCAGTCCCAGGTCTGTCCCTGGAACTAACCCCTGTGCTCTGGGCTGCATGGCTCTGCCCCTTGGCCTCCTCTGCATGAGGGAGCTGAATTAGGGTCCATCAGAGGTGCCCCGGGTGGGCCTGGCTTTACAGAACAACATGTCATCCCAGTGTAGGCAGGTGGGTGCAGGCTGTGAGACAGTGACATAGGGGCTAGGGGCACTGAGCTCCTTGCCGCTGCTGTGGGGAGCAGACATCAGGCACCAGGCCCTCATTGTCTCCTGCCCCTCCAGCATATTATAGAGAGGTCCTGGGGAGTGCCTAAAGGACACCACCTACTCCTTACCGCAGCGTCTGTAATTTGCAGCTGGGACGTCTCAGTCCCTCACACAGCAGCTGCACGCCGCCATCCCCCACACGAATGTTATGACTCAGGTCCAGCTCCATCAGGCTGGGGCAGGTGCTAAGAACAGCAACAAGATCCCTACAGCAGGCGGGTGTGAGACCACACCACTGCAACCTGCAAGAGAGAGAAGCACAGAGCAAAGTGATCAGGGCATGAATGGACCAGTAGGGCTCTGATAGGCAGCCCCACCCACAAGCCCTGGTCAATCAGCATGGACAATGGGACAGAAGTCCCGCCTCCTGCCCTGGCCCAGGAGCCATCCCTTGGCCAAGGAGAAAGCAGAGCTTCCTGCTAAGCCTCAATGTCTGTGCTGCACCTCAATCAACAGAGAAGGGCCCAGCCCCAAACCTCTGCTCCCAGTGAATCATGAATGAGGGGTGGGGCAAGCATTTTAGGCCTTGCCCTTGGACTTTCCCTTTGGCCAAGGCAGCAATGGCAAGAGGCTGTTGTGCACAGACAGGAGACCCTGTGAGATCACTGCCCTTGGGAGCAGGTTCCCAGGGCTTGCTCCCCAGCCCCGACGGGTAATAATCAGGGATCAGAAATTCTCAGGTTTTATATATACACATATACATGGCTTTGTAGAGGGGAGGTCATGAATAACAAACCTGGTGTCCTTTTATGACTAGGTAACTAACAACCTGGACTTGGTACAGGAGGTGGACATCATCTACCTAGATTTCAGCAAGACCTTTGATACTGTTTCCCATGAAATCCTCTCAGTGAAGTTGGAGAGTACTGGCCTAGACCAGGCTACAGTGAGGTGGGTTGGGAACTGGTTCAGCGGCCAATCCCAACAAGTCATAATTGATGGGGTGACCTCATCCTGGAAGGCCATCTCCAGTGGTGCATCCCAGAGGTCAGTGCTCAGACCTGTGCTCTTTAATATCTTTATTAATGACTCTGGATGAGGGAGTGAAAAGTGCAATGATTAAGTTTGCAGATGATACCAAACTATGGGGACAAGCGGGTACATCAGAGGACAGGTCAAGGATTCAGGAAGACCTTGACAGGCTGGTCCTATGGGCTGAACAAAACCATATGAGGTTCAACAGGGACAAATGCTGGGTCCTTCATCTGGGTAGAATGAACCCTCACCATACCTATACAATGGGTAGTGGTCCACTGACTGGCACTGTATCCGAAAGGGACCTGGGGGTGTCAATCAAGGAAGGATGAATACGAGCCACCAGTGTGACGAAGTCACCAACAGAGCAAATAGGACTTTGGTGTGCATCAGTAGGTGTGTCACCAACAGATCCAGAGAGGTGCTTCTCCCCCTCTATTTGGTGTGAGGCCACAGCTGGAGTACTGTGTCCAATTCTGGGCACCACACTTCAAGAAGGATGTGTACAAGCTCAAAAGGATGCCGAGAAGGGTCACCCTCATGATCAAGGGCCTGTGGATGAGGAAAGACTTTGGGATTTGGGTTTATTCAGCCTGAGCAAAAGAATGCTGAGAGGTGACTTGATAGCCGCCTACAAATATGTCAAGGGAGAACCCCAGGATCTTAGGAGAATAACTTTTCAGAAAACTCCCCATCCTTCCCCCCTGGACCAATGGACACAAGTTAGTCAAGGAAAAGTTTCAGCTGGCCATAAGGAAAAAACTTCTTTTCCATACGAGTAATTAGAATCTGGAACACACTTCCAGCAGAGGTGGTGCAGTCACCATCTCTGGTGGTCTTTAAGAGGAATCTGGACAAAAACCTTGCTGAGCTCGTTTGAGCCCAGTTACCTCCTGCCCATGGCAGGGGACCAGACTTGATGATCTTACAGGTCCCTTCCTGTCCTTCTTTCTATGAGTCTATGATTATATATATATAGATATATAGATATAGATATATATATACATACAGGCAACCCATACTTAGCGCTCTTAATTGGTTCTGGAAAAACTGAGCGCTAAGCAAAACAGTGTTAAGCGAAACACATTTCCCCATAAAATGTAATGTAAACAAGTATAACTGGTTCTGCATCACCTGTCAGCCCAGACCCTCACTCCTGCAGCCCTGCCCTGGGCCCAACCTGCAAAGCAATACGCGGGCTCCATCAGGGAAGGCACCGGCTCCTCTCGGCCTCATTGTTCTGCCACCGCGATGGCCCCTGCTGGCCAGCACCTGCCCACCACCAGCACACCTGTGTGCAGCCTCAGCCATCCTGCCCATCGGGCCTGAATCAGGGATCCACCCACTAAGGGATTTAGTGAGAAGGCCGTGGGGCTCGGGCCACTACGAGAGAAGCAGTGGGGCCACCCACCCGCCAGTGCCTTGTGCCCCACTTTGCCCAGCAGGGGCTCCCTCCAGGGCACCTGGCACTGGGACTAACTTCCACCACCAAATTGCTACAGGCTTGGGACGGTGTCTGCGCCCCACAGGTGAGTGTGTGACAGGAGCAGAACAGGTGGGGGGCTCTGTGGGCTCAGCCCCACTGTGGCCTGGGGCAGGGGACACTGCACATGTGTCCTTGAGCACTAGCTCGCACCGGCTCAGGCCCCACACTCCTGCTGGCCCTGGACTCAGGCCCTGCACTCCTACTGGCCCACTGACCCAGGCCCCACATTCACACCCCCACCTGCTCCTTCTTGCCACTGTGCTGCTCCTTCCCACCTGCCCACCATGTGCCAGAGTGGATCCTGTGCTCCTGCCACCCCACCCTGGGCTCCGCCAGCCCAGGCTCTGCACTCACACTGCCCGGCCCCCCACCTGCCCTTCTTGCTGCTGCCTCTGCTCCCCGTCCACTCCAGCACCACATGCCAGAGTGGACCCCGGTTCCTACCACCCCACCCTGGGCCTCCACCAGCTGCCACTTACCACTTCCCTCAACACCACTGCCACCGCCACCACTGCTTCTGCCCACACTGAGCATTATAATGCACTGAGCGCTAAGTGAAACAGAAGTCCTAGATTTCAGAAGGGCAGACTTTGGTAACCTCAGAAGTCTAGTTAGAAAGGCCCTTTGCAACCAGCAGCTGCATGATTTAGGAGTTCAGGAATGGTGGTGCTTCCTTAAGGTGGCAATTCTCACTGCTCAAAAAGATGCCATCCTCACACAGTCAAAATGAGGGAAAGGGGCCAAGGCACCCACTTGGCTCAACAGGGATATTAGAGAACTTTTGAAAAAGAAAAAAGAAGCATATATGCAATGGAAAAATGATTCAGCATCCAGAGAGGAATATACTTATATGGCCAGGGTCTGCAGGTATGAGCCATGGAAAGCCAAGGCATGCATGGAGATCAAGCTAGCAGCCGAAATAAAAGACAACAAAAAGTCCTTCCATAGGTACATAGGGAGCAACAAAATATCAAGCTCCACTGTGGGACCCCTATTGAATACTTGGGGTGGGGGGAGGAGGGCAGCCCACAGTTGATCCCCGTGAAAAGGCAGATCTCCTAAATACGTACTTCACATCAATATTCCTGAAATCAGATGGGAACTGGTCACCTGTCCAGAGACCCAGGAAATATGGGGAAGACAATAGTCCACATGAAATCAGTTCTGAACAGGTGAGGGTACTCTTAGAACATATGGATGTTTTCAAGTCTGCTTGGCCAGATGACCTGCATCCAAGAGTCCTGAACAAACTGGCTGAGCTCATAGTGGGGCATCTGGTGAAGCTGTTCAAAAAGTTGTGGAACTTGGGATTGGTCCCAAATGACTGGAAGAGGGCTAATGTGGTATCCATCTTTAAGAAAGGGAAGAGGGCTGACCCTTCAAACTACAGACCTTTCAGTCTGACTTTGGTCCTGGGAAAAACCCTTGAAAAAATTGTGAAGAAGGCCATCAACAACAAGCTAGCAACTGGTGCGGTATTAAGAAGCAACCAGCATGGCTTTACTGAGGGTAGGTCCTGCCTAACAAACCTGGTGTCCTTTTATGACCAAGTAACTAGCCAGCTGGACAAGGGACATGTGGTTCGCATCGTTTACCTAGATTTCAGCAAGGCCTTTGATACTGTTTCCCATGAGATTCTCTCAATTAAGCTGGAGGGTACTGGCCTAGACCAGTCTACAGTGAGGGGAGTTAGCAAATGACTGAGAGACCGATCCCAAAGAGATGTAATAGATGGGATGGACTCATCCTGGAGGGCTGTCTCCAGTGGTGTCCCCCAGGGATCAGTGCTTGCGCCCGTGCTCTTTAACATCTTTATCAATGACTTGGATGAAGGAGTGGAAAGCATAGTAATTATGTTTGTGGATGACACCAAACTGTGGGGTAATGAGGACACATCTAAGGATAGGGTAAAGATCCAGGATGACCTTGACAGACTGGTCCTATGGGCTGAATTCAATTGGATGAGGTTCACGGGGGCACAGAAGGGAATTGGCGAGTATTTATTCACCAAGGCGCCCCCGGGGGTTACAAGAAATAATGGCCACAAGCTAGCAGAGAGCAGATTTAGATTGGACATTAGGAAGAACTTCTTCACAGTTCGAGTGGCCA